CTGTACAAAAGGTAAGGTAGTTAACATCTCGCCACCATGGGGCTCCACTCTCTGACTCGCAGCCCACCCCTACCATTCAGCCACATACCCATTCAGCCACATACCCATTCAGCCACATACCCATTCAGCCACATACCCATTCAGCCACATACCCATTCAGCCACATACCCATTCAGCCACATACCCATTCAGCCACATACCCATTCAGCCACATACCCACTCAGCCACATACCCACTCAGCCACATACCCACTCAGCCACATACCCATTCAGCCACATACCCACTCAGCCACATACCCATTCAGCCACATACCCATTCACTTACCTACGCACCCACCTACACACCCACTCACTGACTCACTCAACAATTCATTCACCCATCCACTCACCATTTCACTCCCCTAATCATACACCCACCCATCCACCCACTCCATCTCTAACTCACACACTCACCAGTCCACCCACTCACCCAGCCACTTACCTACTCACCCACTCACCCTGCCACCTACTCGTACTGCAACAGACCTACCGACCCAACGAGCCACCTACCCCCTAAACGAAACTACTTTTTATTTCACCAGGTAAGGCCCATTGAGCTATATAGATCATTTTCAGAATAGACCCGTGAACAAATTATACATAAACGAAGTGGCTTATCACGGAGACATTTATTGCAGCCAAATCATCTAAACGCATGTTGATTCTAAATGCAGAGGGGAAAACCCGAAGGACCTGCAGCAAAATCCACGCGACCATGTGTAGAACATGCAAACTCCAAATATACAGGTGACAGGGTCAGGATCGAATCCACAATCTCCTGTATACTAGGCGAGGCAGTGCACGTCTCACCACCTTGGCGCCTCACTCTCTGACTCACCCATCCAATCACTCACACGCTAACGTACCCACTCAACCTCCCACATCAACTCACCCACCCACTCGCTGACTCCACTCAGTCAACAACTCACCCACCCACCCAACCACTCACTCCGTTAACCACTTTCTCACCTGACCCACTCACCCTACGACCACTCACCAAGCAACACACTCACCTACCAACACACCCATTCACTCACTTGCTCACCCACCCACTTACTCACCCAACCACTAACTGACCAACTCACCCACCCACAAACTCACGAACAAAAAACACACCCACTCAACCCATCGCTCACCCAACCCCTCACTCACCCACTTACTGAATCACCCACCTACGCACTCACCGACCCACCAACTCACTTCACCCACCCAATACTCCCTCACCGAGCCACTCAATCTCTAACCCACCCACTCACCCAACCACCCACTCACCCAACCACCCACTCACCCAACCACCCACTCAATCTCTAAACCACACACAAACCCTGCTACTGACTCAATCTCTTAACCAAAGCTCACAAACCCACCCATCCACTCACTCACCCAGTGACTAACCCACTCACTCGATTTCTAACCCATCCATTCACGCACTACCCACCTAACCTCCTACCCACACACACTCACCCACCCACACATCCATGCACCCACACACTCACCCACTCACTCAACCATCCACTCACTAACTCACCCGCCATGCACCTACTCACTCACCCACTTTCAGATCCACTCACCCTGCCACCTACTCAATTTATAACCCACCTACTCACCCACCCACCCAGCCAACCACCCGCCTACTCCCTCAGCCACTCACCCACTACCACCGTAATTATTGACCCACCCACTAATATAATCACCTACTAACGTAACCAGCCACAAACTCAACCACTGAGTTACTCGAACTTACCCACTCACCAAGCCACCCACTCAATCTCAAACCCACACTGATGCACTCACCCACCTGCCCACTCACCAACACCCTTAACTAAATAAAATAAAAAAATTCCCCAGGTAAGGCCCACTGAGCTATATAGATTGTTTTGAGAAGCAGGGTTTGGATCGAACCTACGGAACTTAAAAATACCAGGCAAGATAGTTAACAATTTGCCAACATGGCACTCCACTCTCTGACTCTCCCACCCACGAAAACACACACTCAAACACCCACCCACTAACTCAACCATCCATTCATTCAACCACCGAGCCAAGCACACACTCACCCACTCACCAAGCCACCGACTCAATCTATAGCCCACACTCACTCACCCCACCACTGACCTACTACCCATCAAACTATTCTTAGGTTTTTTCGGTAAAGTCACGTGGGTAAAAAAAATGTAAATTATTAAAAGTAAAATAAAACACCCATCAAACATCGCACTCACTCATCCACTCACCCACCCAGCCACTCCTTTGCACACTAAATGAAAATTACGCTTTTTTATTTTACCAGGTAAGGCACTCAGCTATATAGATATTTTTCAAAAACCATTTGACCACAAATATTCAACTCAATTAAGTGGCTTTTCACGTAAAAAGTTATAGCAACCAAATTCTATAATTGCATCTTTTTAAATGTGGAGGGAGAACCCGGAGCACCTGGAGAAAATTCCACGCGACCATGGGGAGAACATGCAAATATACAGGTGTCAGGGTCGGGATCGACCTCACGACCTCCTGTATAAAAGGCGAGGTCGTTAACAGCTCGCCACCACGGCACTCCACCCACTCACCCATTCAAAACCACCCACCAACCCACTCACAAACCCACTCACCCTGCCACCCACTCAATCTCTAATCCACTGACTCAACAATTTACTCACCCACTCACCTACTCAACTAATCACACACCCACCCACACACCCACCCATTCACCCACTCATTCTCTAACATACCCACCAAATCACTCAATAACCCACCTACCCACTCACCCACCCAATAAACTAAATTAAACAATATTTTTTATTTTACCAGAAAAGGTTCAGATCAGAGGTACGGGTACCCGTTCCCTACCCGTACCCTACCCGAAATGAGTGACAAACGGTTACTCACCAGTGACTCAGGGCCTATCCGTACCCGTACCCGGCCGCCCAGAGTTGCAAACAGCTACCCGTACCGTACCCGGCCGGGTACGGGTAGCCGGGTATCGGGTAGGGTACGGGTATCGGGTACCCGGTTGCAACCTCTGGTTCAGATAACTAAATTAATATTTTTCAGAAGTGACCTGGTTACAAATGATAGGTTAACGAAGTGGATTATCATGGAGACATTTATTGCAGCCACATCCTCTAAATCAGGGGTCTCAAACTCGCGGCCCGCGGGCCAATTGCGGCCCTCGGGACGATATTTTGTGGCCCCCACCTTAATATGAAAGTTTAATGTTAGTGCGGCCCGCGAGTTTTATATTGTAGCAACCCCGCTGTTAGCTGCTGTGTGGGACAATGTTATGATGCTCTGGTTTCCTACTGTGTGCCTGTCCAGTGAATGTGGCATGCATGTGAGTGACATGGGGGGCGGGGTCGTGTGTCTGTGTGTTTGTGTACGTGTGAGTGAGAGAGCCGGGAGAGAAAAGAGTGGCTTTGGATGTGCGGAGAGCAGGAGGGTGAAATTCATAGTTTTCCGCCCTCTTTCGCGCAGGTCATGATGTATCCAGTGCTTCATTTGTAAATCACAAGGTGCCGGAACGCTAAGTACATATGACAGCGCAGGTACAACGAGCACAGGCCCCAAAACGCACGTAAAACGATGCTTAAAACAGCTCACACATGCCACTTACAA